GTCGCTCAGCAGGCCCTTGCGTTCCCCCAGCATATTCCTCCCGCTCCCCAGCTGCCAGTCACCCTTCACTAGCCCCAGCGAGGACGTCAGGATGCAAACCTCCACCGCCTCACCTTTCGTCTCTATTTCTATGCAATGTCCCGTCCCGGCCTCTCCGTCGGGGTAAGCGTTCCATTTGTTCGCCCACCGGTCCTCCCACAACGGCTCCTTTGTCTGCCCTTGCATCTTCCCGTCGCAGAACACCGTTGCGTAATCCCCGGCTTCGAACTCCACCTTTCGCTTTCCTTTCCCTTCCCCCACGCTTCGGTACTTCGCTACGTAAAAGCAGAAGTCTGACGAGTCTTGCGTCAGCATAAGCTGATCTGGCGGACTTGCCCCGCTTACAACGGGTCGCGACTCTCCCCCGCTAGCCTCTGATATTGCTTCTATGTTATCCCATGATGGCACCGGTTCGCTCATCGAGGCCCAGTCACCCGCCACCACCGGTGCCGCAACCAACTCCTGCGTCACGACGTCATCCCCGTGTATACTAGACGAATCGTATAAGAGCTCCCCGCTGAATCCGTCGATGATGCTCACAGACTTGGCCGCCACCACCCCAGTGTATTTCCCTTCTACACCCTCAATACACACATCAGTCAGCTGTTCATCCGAATCATTGCACACAAACACAGCATCCCCCCACCGATACACTGTCCTTCCCACGCACTCGGCATCCTGTTCCCTCGTCGCCATAAACGCCCGCTCAAACTTGTCTTTCAACACGCGATGTAGCCTTGCAAGATGCCTCATCTTACTCGTCTCCTGATAAAACTCATTCACGGGTGCATCATACCCATACGAAGTGGCCTGCAGGTACATGGCGCTCCTCCCAAAATTCGTTCCCCCCATCCACATGTAGTAATTCACCCCGGCCCCTCCTTGCGCAAACCATCTCGCCACGGCGTACGCCAAATCCTCCGCCTTCCTCACATGTTTGGCAGCCCCCCATACATTGTACCACCCGGTCCAACACTCAGTCCACACAGGCGGCTGATCTGCATGCCTCTGCCGGTGCCCGTCAATCTCCTCGTGCGCATAAAACGAGTTGATCGTCTCCACGACCCCCTCGGCAGCTCCGTAGCACATGATGCCTGGCACACCAAACTCGAGCTCCTTCTGCAGATCGGCGCACCACTGCAAATACTTGCCCCCAACATCTCCGTACGCATCTGATACCATCGAGTATTCGTTCTCCAGCTGCACGAGCATGACCGGTCCCCCCTGCGGCAGCATCAACTTTTCCTCCTTGAGTTGGGTGGCGACGTAGCGGACCCAGGTTGCCACCTCGTCCATGAAGGCCGTGTTGTATGTGCGAAACTCGATGTCGGGGACAAAACGTAAGCGCGAGGGGAAGCCGCCGTAGGACACTTCCGCGCAGACGTACGGACCGATGCGCAAGATGACCTTGAGGCTGCGGGAGGAAGCCGCGCGGAGGAAGGCGAAGAGATCACGACGGCCGGAGAAGTCATACGAGGACGGGCGGGCATGGGGTGTGGGCGAAGGGGCGGCCGTGACGGGAGGGGCGCCGTCGTGCTCCCCCCAGAACACATCTAGGCAAAGAAAGGGGGCAGGGTTAGTGTGTGCGTCAGGTGATCTGTGAAACGAGGAAGGGGGCACGGGGGTGGAATGCGTACATGTTTCGAGGGTGTTCAGGCCGGCACGGTGGAAGGTGTCGAAGAGGGCGTCCCAACGAGAAGGGTGCAGGCGGATGTAGTGAACGGAGCCGCAGAGGATTAGAAACGGTTCGCCGTGGATGAAGAAGGAGCGTCGGTCATAGGTGACGGAGGAAGACATTGCTCTGTTGACGTCGAGGTGAGGATGATGGAGATAAGGTAGGTCACATAGGTGCGAGAAGGAGCCCCGAAGGTTTTTCCTAAATTGGAAACGTGTCGGATTGGACTGTACGGTACCGGTACAGGGAGGAAATCAGAATGAAGCTGTGTACGACATGGCACTTGCTTTCCGCTAACCTCACAATCCTCATGCTTCGTTGAGCTTGTGGAACTTAGGAGTTAAGATTTAGTAGTTAATAAGAGCCAGTTTATCCTTCTTCTACTACGTCACAGATGACAACTATTCCTTGCTCTTCGGCTTCATTATACCGCTATCATGTTGCAACACTCTTACGTCGCCTTCCTATCCACGTGCACCTCAGGCAATACGTGATGGAAGGGGTCTATCGTACAAAACCCCTTCTCATCGAAAACGCAATCCCAACAGACAGGCGGCGTCCATTTGAAGAGCCTTTTGAAACCTGGTGGCACACCCTTCCCCTGCTCCACCCTCGGTAATAACGCCGGCAGCAAAGTCTTACCTCAACCATGCACCCGTCCGTGCCGGGCACACGCAAGGCATTGCTGGCGGCAAGTTCCACTACCGCTGTACATCCATCTGCCAGTATGCCACAAGTTTTGCAGCACCCCACCCTCTCCCTCCCCAGTCCACAGCTCACCTTCTTTGTAATGACGCGTCGCGCGGACGGGTTGCGACAATGCGTCGCGCACAACTCATAAGCGTCGCTGTATTCCGCGAAAGAACACTTGTCTATGAGCGCGGCGTGCGCGCCGCATGGGAAACACAAGTCGTCGCCTCGCTCGTTACGTTGGTTTTTCTTCTTCTCTGCGTCACCCGTCTGCCTCGATCCTAGCAAGAGACGCCCCTGAATACACCATTGTACCGCCTCACCGTGCAGCAAAGCGGCGGGGCGGCGTGGGTACGGTTCCAGCGTGGAAAATGTGAGGCATCGCCTTTACGAAGAGTGAAAGCAAGCAACGATACTCGGGACGTCCATTTTTTGACATTTGGCGTTGCTGGAAGGGTCGACGGTATGTGGAGAGGGGTGTGGTTCTTGTTGACATGGAGATTGGAACTTGCAAGAGCGGATGAGGATTCAGTGCGCGTCCTTAGTGCGTGCCTGGAGATATGTGAAGAAGTTTTTTTTTGCATCTCTAGACGGGTAGGCGGACGCGCGGCAACGAAGGCTGGAACTCTCTTCCACAGGGGGTTTAAAACTCCCGGACAATCCGCACTTAGTCCACTTCCAAAAGTATATAAAGTATCTGCGATGGACAAAGCAGTTGAGCTTGTTTGAGGGCAAAGTAGTCTTGCGTCTCCTAAAAAGCAACTATAAATAGAGACTTCGACTCTCGTTCATAGTGTAATTGTGGTGTGGTCTCTCATGACTCATTAGGGTAAAGATGTCGCACTTAAAAGCACCACCATTTTTGGCACCGACACACGTTACGCGCAAAGGGCGACGAACAACTCGTTGTGTCCAAGAAGCCCTCTCTGCCTTGCTCGAAAAATCATCACACCCTCTCGTACGAGTACTCTCGATAAAGTATGGGGGTCGCTTGAGTCATCGCTCTGTCTTCGCTTGACAGTTTTCCAGTCCTCCGTCTATCACTGACAGAGACCCGTATCGATTACACGGTTCCCTTTCAGTTGCCGCCAACGAGCCAAGGCTCTCCTTAACTGCTCTTCTACCATACTTTACAGCAGTCGCAAGATCGATTCATGCAACGTCCATACGAAGGCATGGCGCGTGAAGCAGGTGAACATCCCGACAGACAACAATCCCTGTTTGGACCGTACAATTACTGAATCATAAGGGCAAAGGACATGCCCAGTTGCGCTGTATGACCAGTGCTATCTCATGCAGTTGCACTGTTCGACAGCTGCACAGTCCAATCAATCTCCTTTCCCCCCTAAATTACATACGTAGTCGCAATGGATAACCTCCACCTGGTCACATCTCCAAATCGTTCCCTATAATGAAACGTCTTCTCATTTCTAAACAAGAGCTGGGACCGGCGCAGTGCGCCTCTGTCAACTCTGAATTGCACGTTTTCTTCTCTCCATCGAAGTGATATCACTACGCGATTGCAAGCGCGAGAAGCTATCTCTTTCACCAATAATGAATGCACGTTTCGAACACCACCCGATCCCGTTCCAGCTTTCATTGCTCTCGGCAGGTAACTCAAACGAATCTATTGTGCTTTTATTCATGCACGCTCAGGACTTTTGCTGATGCAACCTCTATTTTCATTTCGCGTCGTTCATCACTTTTCGAAGAATACGCGTATGTATCACATGCTAATTACAAATAACATACACACGGCCAAATGCGGTTCGCTCAAAACATGCGCATACTACGTGGCCAAAGAGCATATTGCATCCATTAGCAAACGAGCTCCGGTATAAATTCAACCAGGCTCATTTTTGCAGAACTCGCGCCACCAATAGTCTGCACGACATAACATTGCTGGTGGGAATAAGGTGGTAGTAGTGGACGGGAGTGAGGAGACGAACCGAAGTGAAGACGAGCCGTCCCTCTTTTTTACCCACTGGGGTGTGGTGCGCCTCCAGCTCCTACAAATGTAAAGCTATATTCTAAAACCCCCATATCTCTCTGCCTATGAAGCTGGGTTCGATGTGTGCTCAACTTTTTGAATGAGTATCTATCGCATTGTTCAAGTATTGCCCTCTCATTCTCATTGCGACCGTTGCAGGACACGGCCGCATGTCGCTCATACTTTACATCTATGCATCGACACGGCGTAGCTATAGACATCGTCAGTACATCCCATGGGGCAGGGGGTCTTTTTGCAGGACACTGCTAACCCACAACCACACGGGCGTCCGTCTGAGGTGCTGGTGGTCGGTGCACACACTCTCTAGCATACTCCTGATGCGTGTCAACCTCCCACTGTCCGCGCCACACTAAGTTTGACCGCGTCTGCCCTCTGTCTGAACTAAAATTACTCAAACCCTCGTCTAATAACATACTGTGTAGCACGACCCTCGTGCGCGGCGCAAGTGTGTCGAACACCGTCCCTAGCGGGGATCCGCACTCTAGGTCTCGTTGCAACCCCAGGCTGCCCAACACCCTGCCTTCTACGTCTATGACGCGGGTTGTGTCTAACTTGTGCAGGCTGAGTAGTCTTCTACCCAGCCGGCGGCAGAAGTCTATATACCCCTCTGAGTGAGAGTAGTATCCGACTACGGCGCGCAAGTTGACGTTCGGGTAGCGTACTAACCGTTTGACATTTTGCTTAGATTTCCATCCCTGTAACGCCCTTTCTAGTTCCTTCCCATTCTCTATTCCTTCTGGCAGGCGACATCGTACCGCGTTGAGCTTCAAGCCTACGTACAGTCGCGCTAGCCACTCGTCGTCCCCAGCGAGCATACTCTCCACAGCACACAACTCTGGCACCCCAATCCGGTCGGAGTACGCCACATCATACCACCGAATGACTGTAGCACGAGCCTGGGAGTAGTCTCCTGTCGCCAGGTCCGTCCCAGACACAGCGTGTACGGACGCTTCCCTCCTGGACAAGGGTCGGCCAACGCGGTACCTGCGGGTCGCATCCAACCGCGCTCCAGTGTCGACATCCAGCAGAGGAAACAAGCTCATCCTCAAGTTCCTGTTCCCCCACCGACGGCCACGAACAACGCGGTTGTCAACGTGGCCACTACCCGCCCCTTGCGAAAATGCGGCTAGCAGGCCAGACGTGGCGGTGTCACACGTTATAGTGTACCCCGACTCAGCACAGGCCTGCCAGCCGATTGCCTCCGCATGCAGTGGGTCAGCCCCGGCGGCTTCAGCAGCACTTATCCAGAATTCAATCTTCTCGAAGGTCCAACCCGCAAAGCGGCGCTGGGCGACTACTCTCTTCGTCCGGTCAATTATGGCACGCCGCCAGACGCTGGCCTGGTGGGTTACCTGTCCCATCAGGCGTTTGAGTATCCTGCGATCTCTGTTTAGAGCCCGGAGTGCATTAGCTGGCTTTTCCCCGAGCCCGGTGATAAGATGTCTTACATTTTCGCACGCATTGTATAGGGGCGACGCTTGTGCCAGCCAGCCAGCCATGCTGTCGCCGGCTCCTCTGTGGCCGACGGTACGCTCCAGCTCAACCATGTCGCTGTGGACCGCCCTCATTACCTCTAGTATTTCGGTTACCCCTTGCAGCCCGTACGCTGTACCGCGAGGCCCTCGGATGTTTTTGATGTGCGTCGAATCACACTCGCCAGAAGCCAACTCGGATCCGTGCGTCTTTATGAGCTGGGCAGCGGCGTGCCCCTCAAACTCAGTACACAAACTGTACTGTATTCGGCATATCTCCAGGCCAGATAGTACTACGTCGCCGTCTACCCGGTCTGGGTGAGAACTAGGCCCTGCCATGCGGACCATGGTCCGAGCGACCATGAGTCCCTCGTTGCTGGCCCGTCGCAATGACGTCGTCACGCGTCGGGACTGGAGGCAACACACTAGCGGCGCCCCCCTTCCCCTACACCTACCGCATTGCGGCGTTATGAAGGGCATGTCGCTCGTCGCTCGTCCTCAACTAGTGTTGGGGGAATATCTGTTGTCGTTCATTTTCCGCGTGGTTGCTTTGCTAGCTAGGCGAGAGTACCACATTCCACGTCTTGTCTTCTGAAGGCTGCGCTCTTGACAAAAGCGTCCGCAGCAATCCCTAAAAAATCATTAAACGCTGAGACCAAATTAGAAATCAAAATATGCATTGAAAAGCGCTAACGATTTTCTTTGTTCATTTGCACACCTTTCTGGTTTCTGAACGTTCATTGCAGCCAGATTGGTGCAGTACATGCATGCATCAACGAGATATCTGGCGAAACTCAAGAGACGTCTGCAAGAAATGTACCTCAACTAACAACGTATTCCGATAATGCGCAAAGACCAAGTGCACTGTCATCTCATGGTTCAACATCACTTTTCGCTTATCCCCAAAAATAGAAACTCATGAAACGACCAATTCATACTTGCCTACAGTATTCGTGCGACTTCGTCTCACCCTTGTACCTGCTCTCCACAGGTGCATGTTACGTGTTTTTTATCCATTCAAATTTATACTGCAGGAGACCTCTTTTCGCAATTCTATTGCCAGACGCTTGTTTCATTGCAGGTTCTCCCTCCTCTATTGTACAGGGAGCAACCATGCGTATGTGTAGATTCCCGTCCGTCTTTGTGTAATATGAGCGTACGAGAAACCCGCTGGATTCTCTTGGCTTGTCGATCACGTTCGAGATACTAAATCATACTTTTGCTTGAAGAATCACCTCTCCCCTGGGCCGATCCCGATGACTTGCGCGTCTCGTAACGTGCTGAGATGAATACAATTTACGTAGACAAGTTTGTGTGAAAGCCGATTTCTGAAACTTTGGAGCAACCGCGCGCTTTGCTTTTGCCGTAATTGGTCTACACAAAATCAACCCCCGTTGAGTAGATTCGTGTGACGCGCCTAAAAGCCCAGGGATTCTTAATTATAGGTTTGCACATCTGTCACTTTAAAGGTCACTGCACCTGCCGACAAAGCAGCACGTTGGGGGTGCATTTTTCATAGAAGATTAATGCAGCAAAGCTCACCATTTTGGCCGTAATGATGCGCATGCACCTAAAAGGAAAGGTAGTCGTTCTGATTTCCGGTCTTTTCCTCATGCTTCTCAAAACGCCGCTCGCATATTTTCAATTTCCCTCCGCAGCACCTTTTCATCTTCAGAACAACATCGTCCTGGGCATTTTCGGTGTTGATAGTTGTTTACACTCACACGCTGCATAGCTTGCCAATGATAACTCAAAAGTATACGAGAAATTTGTAATTGCGGACGTTCACAAGTGATTGTTTTCGATTCTTGACATTCTAAGTGATGGGGAACATGAAAGTTCTGCCCAATGCTATTAATATTGTTCAGGCAAAAATAGACTCGCTGGCAGCATTCATCTCGTCGAGAGAGTTTGCCGTGATAGGGATATCGCTAGTTGGTGCAACCCCTTTTACTTGCTTGTTTCCCTCTCGGTAGCCGAAAAAAGATCTTCCTTCAATATCCGAAGGACCCACTGAGGTAAATGAAGACCTCTAGTGCTACTCTTCTTTTTGGGAAGGATAACTGGGTGGTTCAAACTTTTACTGATACGTTTCCCTTACAAAATTGATAGTAAAGTGACTCTGTGTAGCACTCTGGGACATAAAAACGAACTCTAGATAAGATGACCGGGTCTGAGAGAACCGTCGTGCCAGAAATCTGCTTGCCGTCATTGCGTACTATGAAGAGATTCTGCTCAGGAACCTGAAGTTTCAAAAAAGGGCCACGCAGGCAGAAAGAGAGCAACTCTTTACCTATGGTGGGGGTTTTCTGACTCAAGCAGTGTCAGCAAGCAACTTGTAGTCTCGAAAAGTATATTCTATGTTAAAATTGTAGGCCAGAAGCAAAGATATCACTGCACCTCTCTTCTTGATCAGAAGATATTACTGTTGCACCAATTTCTTAAATAAGTTTGTATCTGCACACCACTCAGTAATAAGCTAGTTCTGGTATGTCTGGTGTACTACCTTTGTAAGGACTACTGATAAATGCAAACTGGAGAAGCAGTTTGGTCTATATTCACAACCACTCTGGGGGATGAACATGTATCTGCCCTATCACGAGGACATGGCATCAAACCGGATATGGTAAGCTTCACAAGAGAATCCTTTGCAGTGCACGCTATTGAAGTAAAGTTATGCCATCACCTCACGCTCTTCTAAAGCCGCACCTAATCTTCCAAAGCAGGTTTTGGGCACGACCTGAGACGTCTGCTAGAGACACAGCGGCTCGCATTTTCTTTGGCATTTGAGTTTTCGGGCAATGCTGGCTTGAAACGCAGATAGTCTGTACCACGTGTGCTTATAGGGCCTTGCGGCCACGGCTGCAGTGTTCACCCAAAGAAAGACAAGGCAGAAACACTGTTCCTTAATGTTCAGTCCCGAAAATGATATAAATCAGACGGCCCGCCAGAGTGTACGAGCCTTTGTGGCTGTCAGCGCATTATTATATTCAAGAAACTAAACCTGCGCTTACCGCTGAGAAGTAAACAGCGTTTTTTCCGTCCCACTGTATGGAGGGTTGGTAGACTCTTTCGGCGTTTGCGCGTTGGCAAACGCAGAAACCGATGACAGTTCTGTGCATGGATAGAGCCTGGAAGAGGTGTGTATGCGGATTCCAACTGGACCTGGAGAGAAGGAGCAACCGGATTCGAATTTCGATCCCCGTCACGTGCAGAATCCACGCTTTTGAGAAGAGCATGACACAGTAAGCTGAGGCTTTTTGTGCGGTCCCCGTACAGTACCAGGATTCAGCATTACATCGCACGTTCGTTGCGGAACGAACTGGCGCACTGCGCCAGTGTCCCACGACAGGAGATGGTTTATAGAGACAAAGAAGAGGTTGATAGATGAATCATGAGCCTTCATAATGCTTCAAATGAGTTTTATTATATAAAAAACGGTCGCTGAACACAGTGCACGCAGGAGCCTTGCGAGGAGGCAGGGGGCGAGTGAAAGGGAATCAGATGGTGATTCGGGGCAAGCATAGCTCGCGAAGGGTAGTAGTTGACGGTAAGCAACCAATGGACATGTTTGTGAATGTCAGCAATGAGTTCGGAGGATTTGTAGGATGAGAGGTGAAGGGAACGATAGTACCACGAGAAGGGGGGAATATTTTGTGAAAGCTAAACTGAGGAACGAGTCGCTAGCTAGGTTGCAGGAGGAGCTGCCACTACAATACATGGCAGGATAAATATATATAAAAATATGGCAGGATAAATATATGAAGAGAATAAAAAAAAAAAGGATATGAGGTTGGTTAGAGGTTCGTTGACAGCAATCATAATGCAGATTGTTGCATCTACCAGCGGCAAAAAAGTCATGCAATGTGAAGGGTGCTTAATATGTGTGGACCATAGACGAGTTTTGAGCATAGCTGCTATCCTGCGCGTGGGGCTTCGTATACAGTATGTAGAGGGCCTGTCCCACGTGGGTGACAGGAGAATAAAGCTTCCACTGAATGGACAATAGACTAGGTTGGGGAATGGAGGTAGATATACCGTGGCAGCAAGGGTTTTTGCGATCTGAAAATTTTGAATGGTGAGGCGGTATGAGAGCAGCAAGATGTGAAATGATAATGCAGGGATCGGGAAAATATCTTAGACTTGCATGTACAGCGGAGGATTATATGTGTGGTATATTGCTTTCTCTTCCTCTATCCTCAAAGGGGGAATTTGGGGTTGCGAGAGGGGCCGTGGTCTGGTCAAGTTAAAATCGTGCTCTGGGATGAAGAGTG